CTTCACTGGCTCCCTGTACAATACCGCATGCACTACAAAAACCTTCTCCTCACCTACAAAGCTCTCCACAATCTAGCCCCCACTTACCTCTGTGACCTCCTTCAGGAATACACCCCCTCCCGCACCCTCCGCTCAACCTCTGCTGGACTCCTCACCATCCCCACCTCACGCCTCAGTACCATGGGTGCTGAGCCTTCAGCTGCTCGGCACCCAGACTCTGGAACTCCCTCCCCCAACACATAAGCCAGTCAGACTCTATCACATCATTCAAATCCTAACTCAAAACCCACCTGTTCAAACTGGCATTTTCACTCTAACTGGACACTGTGCACTACACTTGTTTTTATGTTGATGTTTGGTTTTAATGATGTCTCCTCTATGCTCTGTAAGGTGACCTTGGGTGACTTGAAAGGCGCCTCCAAATAAAATGTATAATTATTATTATTATTATTATCATCAACACTAAGACAATTTCTTTTCTCTTCTCTGCTTTCTTTCTGTAATTATTCATTTTTTGTTTCGCCACCTCTTCCCTGCATGCCTGTTTCCCAAAATTTCTTCTTTTCTTTTTACTTCAAATCATTCTTTTTCAGTGATTTTCTGTTCTTTTCTCACCATTGTGGTCTTCATCCTGTGCCCCTGCATGGGTGAGTAGGTCCGGTTTGTTTATAAGGCGGGAAGCATAGAGGTGTTTGAGGCCCAGGAATAGGAGCAGGATGGAGGGAACAATCTGAGCGGCGACTCCCTCTAACACTGCTGGCCGGTTGGGCAGCTCCATCAGCACGCTCAGGCCAATGATGCACATTTTACGGTCATGGAGCCTGCGGAGTGGATCAGAAAAAGGAAGAAGCAGACTGAGAGGGGAAGCAATTGACGGTATCAAGTTCTAAAAATAAGTTTGATCTACAAAACATTGCATGTTTGTCAAGATATTTCCAGGTGTTGAAAATTTGTGATTAAAAGTATTAAATTGGCTATTACAAATATAGAATTGAGTGGTAAAAATGGTCAAAATCCTTTCAAATCACCAAATTAAGACACCAAGACCTTGAGGAAAGCCAGAGAAAAATCCATTATGTGATTTGGTATCAAATAGTTTTGACATTGGGAGATTTCTGTAAGAGCTGCATTTTTTTGCAATTGGATGATGAGCACTTCTGTTCTGGAAGCTGCTCAGAAACCCCCTTATTGTCAATATGCCTATGAAAGCCATACATCCTCTGCATGCCTAAGGTCTCTAGTTTGGGGATGTGAAGTTTAATGCAGCTGTGATTATCATGAAGATCCAAATAGGTCATTTTATCTGTGAAGTCAAGTTTCAAAACATGGTCTCACTTCAATGAAATGGCTACTACGGGGACAAATATTCATTAGATTCTATATTTTCATTTCAAATGGTGCCATTTGTTCCCTGTGCTTAAAATAAGTACAAGCAGCTACTAAACTCAGAAACCAAGTTGGTTTATCATGAGGGATCTAGCCAAAACCAATAGTGTGTCTCAAATCACATACTTCCATTAGTACACTTCTATGTCGTATACTATGTGCACTATGCACTCACTGGCATAGTGCGCGAATTTCAACAGGGTAGTGTTGTCTCAAACCAAACACGGCCGTTGTGCACTCACCGGAAATGACGACCGCAAATTAGCTAGTTAGCAAACTAGCATTAGCATTCGCATTATCGTTCTGCTAAATTAACCCAATAAACATACTGCTGGCTTATACCCGACAACAGTATAGTGGTGCTTAGTGCAAAAAACACATGCATTTGTACAATGCAGCGACGTTCATGGTCGCACAGTCCTCGGCCGCTATTTCCAGTTTGAAAAGCGGTCCCTCCTCTTCTGCTACGTAGCCAATATGGCGACCATTGAGGACGAGAAGTGACCATAGTTCCACACTCAACTTTCTGACCGTTTTGAGTGCACCATCCGGGTACTCATAGTGCACTGCATTTTTCCATACTTCTCAGTGTGAACACACTTATGCACTCAAAATATTAAGTGTAAGTACAGAAGTACACGATTTGAGACACAGCACAAGTTATGGATGGAAGCCATTTTGAAAGTCCAAGAGGGTCACAACGAAGACTTTGAAAAAAATTGAAAAAGTGATTTTGGGATATGGTACAATCTAAAAGTTTGAAAAAGATATAGTTTATCAACTCCCCAAAGGTTTTGAAATAAAGTTGCAATCAGGACATTGTGAAGCTGACTAAGATGAGATACATATTTATTACTGAGCCTTAGATGTGTTAGTAGATGTTGATCTTTGGTTGAAGGCTAGCCATTTCCCTCTACTTCCATGCTTTATGCTGAGCTTGGCTAACCACGTCCTGACTCAAGCTCTGTAATTACTGCAAAGAAATGAGACTGATATCAATCTTCTCATCTAACTCTCAGAAAGAAAGTAAATTACTGTAAATCTTCAATTAGTAGCCTAGGCTATTGTTTGCTTGAATCACTGAACTCAACAGGTGTCTATATGGGACAGGCCTTTAATTCCTTTTACACAAAACTGTTGCTCAGCAAAGATGGGAAATATAATCAAATTATTTATTTAAAGCAGTGTGAATATTAGGCTTTGAATAACATATCAATTATGTGTTGTGTTATGACACTTGTTTCACAGCACCTAAGGATAACAGCACTTGGCATACCAACACAACACAACACAACTTTATCCTGTCAAAAAAGTATTTATGATATAACCTGGATTAATTTTTTATGAAAAACCCTTTTGATCATTGGTCCCTTACAGACTAAAGAAGTATTAATGACCTACCACGTAATCGAGGAATGGACAGATATTCTGACCTTATGACAACTTCAGAGGAAGGGAGTCACCACTTGTTTTTTCATCATGCCAGTAAATCTGAATGACTTAGGGTCCTCTCCAGTGAGGACGTGGTTTCAGTAAAATGAAATCAACCCAGCTAACGATGTTTAGCATCTCCATATTGACAAAAGTTAAAACATTTATATTTGTATGCACGATCGAAGCAGCAAACTAATGTTAGCTCAAGTGGGCAGTCAACAGTCAGGTTTTATACATCCAAAAAACTTCTATAAAAAATTAACTGCTTGGCAACCATACCAGACATCTCATTGGGACAGGCTTTTATTTGTCTAAATGTGTAGCGACACCAGGTTAGTAAAAGGAACTGGGCGTTTAATTGAGACGAGGCTTTCAACTGAAGTTATATGTTAGTGTATTTAAAAACTGAAACTTTTTGAATTTTCGTCGTCTAAAACCTTTTAAATTTTTGTTGACTAAAACTTTTTGAATTTTCGTCCACCAAGACTTCATAAATTTTCATTGACTTAAAGCGCCACTTACCTTTCTGGAATTTTTACGCTTTTCTTTGTTTAGGTTAAAATGCTATTAATAAGCTGATGGCACACTAAAATGTAAGTGAATTCCAACAGAGATAAAAACCCATAATTACACCATTCTCATATTAAAACTCCGACCAATCATTGCATTCGGACCGAAAGCAATGATTGGCCGAGCATCCTGTCTGTCTTTCCCACGTGGATGCCTCTGAGTGACGTAACCGCTCGCATAACGCCCCCTGATGATGAGACTGATGCAGCTTCATCCTGAGCTAAAAAGGGACGAGACGGTCGCAGAGTTTCTGCTGGACAGGTATTTTTAGTTTGCCTCTAATGTAACATAGGCTATAACGTTATATATGACAACAGAGCATCCAGTTGCTAACGGTTAGCCTACTGTAGCCTAACGTTGCCTGAGCCTCTGTATTATCTTCCTTGTTTGTTGCCAGTCACCAGTACAGGACAGGTTCACACATGGCCATAGGCAGCAGTGTTAAGCCAGGCAGGGGAAAGCCAAATTCTCCGAAAATGAGCAATCGTCAGAATTTTGGTCTTAAGCACTGTATTTCGTCATAAACAACCCAGAAATGCGGCTCAAAGTGCAAAATACGGGACTTCTCCTTTAACTAGTTCAAAACATCTTAAGTGTCCCTCTCACCCCAGGAAGAACTCTGTGTCGTTCATCCATTGGTTGATGAAGTGGGCAGTGATGGGCTGAGGGCTGTGTTGGAAGTGCATGTTGTCCAGAGTGTGGATGAGCAGGGCTGGGTTGTAGTACAGAGCAGCAATGGCCACCTGCAGGCACATAGTCCTCAGCTCACTGGACTTCACCCCCCGCATCAAACGCTCCAGAACTGCCTCCACAAACAAAGGGATGCACTGCATGGAAGAAGCACAAAGAAATGATGGTGCCGTTTCACTTTTGGTGGAGTATTGGTCAGTGTCCTGTCTGAGAGTCGTAATTTCTTGTTTAATCCCCATTTTAAGTTTGTCTTTAAATATTGTCAACTCGTCTTTAAGTTCATGTTTTAGGTCTGTTATGTCTCTGCTAATGTTAGCTAGTCCAGTTCTCAGTGCCTTAGTGTGGTCAAACTGGTCAATTTTTCTCTGCCGTGTTGTCCTTGGTTTCACTTTTGTTGTGCTCCCCTTTCACTGCAAGCTGCTTTTAAACTTTAACTTTGATTGTTTCTCCAGCTTTTGTGTTCATTCTACTCACTCACCTTTTAGTTTTTTATAGCATTTGTATATCAAGTTACATAGACTGAGTAGGTTTATTTAACCTGAGCTAGCTAGTAATTAAGCACCCATTTGGTCCACAATGAAAAAGTATTTTAACAAAATCAATGTTTTTTAAGATTATTTTTGGGCTTTTGCTTTTATTAGACAGGACAGCTTCATCATCAGAGAGGGACAGAGAGAGAGGGGGGATGACATGCAGCAAAGGGCTATGGGACAGAATGCAACTTGCATCCACTGTGGCATGGACACAGCCTTTGCACATGGGGCACCCGCTCTACCAGGTGAATTTATGTGTGCCCCAACAACATCCACTTTTTCATGTTACATATAATAATATGTAAATATGTAACAATAGTATTTAACTATAATTACTACCCCACAGTTGTATGCCTCCACGTACCAGTCAAGTTTCTCTCCCAATTTACATCCATGTGTGTGAAAACATGCATGCTTCACACCCACTTTCATCCTGGCAGCACAGAAGATCTATACAATCAGCAGTTTCATAGTGGACACACAAGCCTAGTGTCACCAGTTCAGTATCTGACTAAATGTCTCCCCTTCTGTTCCTGAATTATGACTTTTAATAATGACCAGAAAATTGTTGTATGCAGAACATTATGATGTCACAGTGAAGCTGACCTTTGACCTTTTAGATATTAATGCCATTACTTCATTATTTTATCCTATTAGACATGTGCGTGAAGTTTTGTCATAATTAGCATGTGAATTCTTTTGTTAAAACCAAAAATATATTTTGTCAGGTCACACTGACTTTGACCACAAAATTCTAATTAGTTTGTTCTTCAGCCCAAGTGGATGTTTGTGTCAAAGTTAAAGAAATTCCCTTAAGGTGTTCTTGAGATGTCCTGTTCAGGAGAATGAGACAGATGCAAGGTCACGTTGACCTTGACCTTTAACCAGTGAAATCTTATCAGTTCATTGTTGAATCCAAGTGACCTTTGTGCCAAAGTTAAAGAAATTCCCTCACTGTGTTCTTGAGATATTGCATTTACAAAGCTAGACAGACAAGGTCACAGGGACCTTGACCTTTGACCTATTGCCACCAAAATCAAATCAGTTCATTCTCAAGTCCAAATCAACCCTTGTGCTAAATTTGAAGATATTCCCTTTAAGTGTTCTTGAGATAACGCATTTACGAGAATGCGACAGACAAGGCAGGGTTCGACATAACCCATGGCCCGATGGCCCGGGGCCAATCAAAAAGTATGTCGGGCAAGTTGACTGACAGGTGACAGGCCCGCTCGCAGTGACGCTGTAAAGCTTTTTTTGTCAGGGGAACAACTCCAGCGGATTTTTATCCCACTTTTCTCGAGCCTTCAGTGGATTTATTGGGCTTTTTGGCCAAAGGTGCCCTCACCTTTGCTCGTGCAATGAAACACCGGAGGAGGGGGAAACGTGCCGGTGTGCTTGTGTGTCTCCGCCAACGCGGACACCACTGCCATGCAGGTATATTTCTCTCCAACGTGCGTTCGCTGGCCAGTAAACTGGATGAACTTCAGCTACTGATAGCGAAAAACGGATACTTTTCTACACCTGCAGTTTTGTGCTTCACAGAGACGTGGCTGTGTGGATCGATACCGGACTCTGCGCTGCAGCTGGCGGGCTTCCAACTCTTGAGCGGATCGTAACATGGAACTCTCCGGCAAAACTAAAGGTGGAGGTATCTGTTTTTACACTAATGGTGGCTGGTATAATGACGTGACAGTAATCCAGCAGCACTGCTCTCCTGATCTGGAATCTTTTTTTCATCAACTGCAAACCTTTTTACTCCTCCCCTGAGTTTGCTTCATTCATTCTGGTCGGTGTTTACATCCCACCGCAGGCAACATGCAGGAGGTAGGCAACAGCGCATGCTCGCCGACCAGATAGGCTACTGTGTGTGGAGCGGACTCCTTAGTTATTGTCCTTGGCGACTTTAACAAAGGTAACCTCACCCATGAACTCCCCACATACAAACAGTTTATAGATTGTCCGACCAGAGAGAAGAATATCCTGGATCACTGTTACACAACTATTAATAATGCCTATCACGCCGTCACCCGCGCTGCACTGGGCCACTCTGACCACAACACTGTCCACCTGATTCCCTCATACAGGCAGTTAAAGCTCTGTAAACCTCTTGTGAGGTCATCTAAGAAGTGGATGAGTACACAGAGGCTGTGACATCATACATCAGTTTCTGTGAGGACTGCTGTATACACCATCACGCACTACGATGAGGTATAATGGAGTTAAATGAAATGAAGTTAAATTAAATGAAGTTTTATATTCATTTTTTCTCTCTCTCTTTTTTACTTGGGCCAGTAAGAATATACAAGGGGCCAGTAAAACTCTGAACTACTGGCCCAGGGGGCCAGTGGGGAAAAAATGTTATGTTGAACA